GTGACTGCCCGCCTCTCGCTTCTTGTCGAGCCACCCTCATGGTCCACCTCACGTTCGGGCGATGCTTCTAGCTCGGATCGATGTCTTTCCTTTGGCCTAGCGATCTATGCACCTTTTCCTGATTGGTCGGATGATGCCCTCGGATCCTATTACCCTATGCAGAGGCACAGAGCACACAAAAAAGACTGCTTTGTCGCCGCTCTTTTCTACAGAGCCTTGTTTCAGCTGTTTTCCTACAGTACACTGTCCAACCTAATTGCTCTTACTGACTTCCAATTTGGGGGAACCTTCTGTAGTAGACGACCACTTCTTTCGAAAAGCCCACCAGAGTGCAACGGTGACCCCCCATCTGGAGCCAAGGCCGTCTTGAATACCTAGGTCTCAGCACTAAGCCAGTTTTCTGTAACTGCTATAATTTCGTGCAGAAACTTAGAAGCGTAAAAGCAGACAGTTTTGTAAAAGATTACGTCCTACTCTTTTTGTCAATTTTGGAACCAAATGCGTAGAGCGATACGGATAGTGAATTGACTTATTTCGAAATATTTCGCAAAAAGTTAACGAACCTTCTCTACGGCTAAATGCGGATCGATAGGAACTAGAGGACACCGTTTGCACTCTATGAGAATCATAATTGAGACAACCAATAAAACCTAGCTCAATTCAGTTTCCTGATATCCATAAACTTCCGCCAAATGTTGTCGAAATTTATATAATAGGTGATTTGATAAGTTAATCAGACGAGACTCACACATCTCTTCTTGTTTCGTTTCCAGCCGTGCACTGCCTCGTCGTTCTTCTCAACCAAAATGCCTTCTCAGTGAAACAACTGCTGTAAATTTTGCATAAAATCTCTTTGGTGCGGCCCATTTCCTACCTGTCCACTGGAGAGCCTGTTTTTGTTCTGTTCAACATGATTCTGGTCGACTGGAGGGCGGAGGGAACGTCATGAGTTGTGCTGCGGAAAAGCTGTTTCCTCCTCGGAGATTCAGCTTGCTTGCACTCATGTTGCGCATGCATTTTAGATGCCCTTAAACTCCAAACGGCACAGGAGTGCGTGGCCCACCAGGAAGAGGCATCCGTCGTCCTCAACACGGAGACGATGGACGAAAACCAACAGCAGACCGGGGTGATAGCTGCCAACTCATGTTTTCGCATCAAAATGTCGCGTCAGATTTAAACAGAGTTTTGAATAAATTTTGAGGTTTCTTAGATAACACTGAAATGGACAAGGCATTTCCGGTCGAATTCAGCGACCTGCTGGACTAGTTGCCGGCCTGTGGCGACCAACCAACTGCCAGCCCTGAGACGGATTCATGTGGCAAAGTTGGCCAGTTTCATTGGTTAAATCATGTAGCGATGGACTAGTTGCCGGTCTGCGTCTGACTGGCCAATTTAGTGAGTCGAAGTTGGTCAACTCTACTCTCTGCAGATCGAAAAAGTATCTGTTACTGGTCGGAGCCCTCCAGTCTGTCAGCGAAGCTGCCGGGCATGTCCTAGTAGATGGTGCATGCTAGTTCGGTCAGTGTTCTCATAGATGCGATTGACTTTTATTACAGTTCGGCAGACCTCTCGGTGTCCCAGCAGCTCAATTCACTACAGGTTGTTTTTCCCTTCTCTCTAGGATCTCCACAATGTGCTGGGCATCACATCTGGGGATCAGTGCAGACCACTATCCATCCGCCACCCCCTCAGCGGACATTCAGTTTAATGTCAATTCTACAGCCATG